TATAAAAGCTTGGTGAGGCCTGAGCACAGTGGAAGTCCTTCCTCTTGAGTTGGACTTGCCGCCTGGTCCCCCAATATTCCCAAATTATCTAGTGTCTATTCTATTTCATTTGTGTGCGGCTCCTCTTCCAGACCCGAACCCTGAACCACGCAGGACGTGGAGGGAAACACTTACGACACCCAGGGACCTTAGAGACAGAATCAGGGGTGAGCCTGGGATGAGCTGCCACTGCCCATTGCTTCCCTGGTTGTAATTCTCTTAGAGTTTATGAGATGCACACTTTGGGGGGGGGGGGGGGGCAGGCGTGCTCCCAGGAGAGAGAGCACACTACAACCCCCCGCCTTTGTTTTCTTTCACAGATTTAGGTGAAGCAGGTGTTGTAGCTACTCTTTCCAATTCATCCAGAAAATCTGTATTTAAGTATTGATTGAAGGATGTTGTTTTTGACACGCAGGGACACAACTGGAAAGAAAGAGCAAAAATTCCTTCAGTCAGTTTCTAGTTCAGCCCCCTCATGAGCACTTTCTTCCAAGAATTTACAAAGCAAGTGCAATTGCATTGAAGTTAAACCCTGCCTCTATTTCCTATGTCCTCCAGAGGAATAAAGTACCCCTAAGTAATATTCTTCTTTTCTTCACTCAATCAACAGGGACTCCAGGAGACAACAGGCTCATCAAATCAGTGAGGCAGAGATGTGGACAAGCAGGTTGCTCTGGTCAACCATAGAGGACTGAAAACTCATAGAAGGCTGCTATAGAAAACAACCAGCCTAGCTGCCCATAATTCATGTTTTAGATACCATACTCATGAATATCCCTTTCCCTTCACCAGTATCTGCCATATTGTCCTTTTTTGATTAATTTTCTCATTCAAGGCTGAAAATTACAATTTCTGTACTAAAATAAAATTTCAAAACTAAAAGTACAATTTCATGGTAATTTCACCTGCATAAAAATGTGTTTTGGAGAAAGAGGTTAATATTTTCTCAAAGCTTGGAACCCCAATCCTTTCTAGAGATAGCCACCTCTCGCTTACTAGACGGGTCCCTACCAATGGCTTATCTAAGATTCTTAGGAAATAGTCATGCTAGTCAGTCAATTTCCTGACTTCTTGCTGTGTCCTCACTTGCTGGAGATGTGGGAGAAATGCCTAGTTTCCATTTTTGTCAGAAGCTGTGAGCAGGGCTGCCCACTTGCATTCCTGTTACAAATGTCTGGGCAACAGTGTTAGTCTGCTAAGGCAGCCATCACAAAATACCACAGACTGGATGGTTTAGACAACAGAAATTTATTTTTCACAGTTCTGGAAGCAAGAAATTCAAGATCAATAAAGGTGTCCACAGGTCTGATTTCTCCATTGGCTTTCAGATGGCCACTGTCTTAATCCATTTGGGCTGCTACAATACAATACCACAGACTGGGCATATTATAAACCACAGAAATTTATTTCGCACAGTTCTGGGCTGGGAAGTCCCAAATCAAGTTACCAGCAGAGTTGGATGAGGCTCCTTTTCAGGATTGCAAAATGCTGACTTCTTGCTGTGTCCTCACTTACTGGAAGCAGGTAGGGAGCTCTAGGTGTTTTTTTAAAAAAAATAAAATCACTAATCCCATCATGAGGGATCCACTCATGTCCTAATCATCTCTGAATGACCCACCTTCTAACACCATCACATTTGGCATTAGGATTCCAATACCTGGGTGCCATCGTTAATCATAGGAATGCAAGTCAACCAACATTAAAACCACTACACATCTTCTCTACTAATAAAAGGGTAATATGCTAATTAGACAGGACATCTTCTGGACATTCTTCCAGACCAAGCCACAGTGGTGGGAGCCAAGGCAGAGGCAGTTAGAGGTAATCAGGCCGGCAGGGGAGGGCAGTTAGGGGGCAATCAGGCCTGCAGGCAGAGGCGGTTAGGGGCGTTCTGGCAGGCAGGTAGGCAGGCAGGCGAGCAGTTAGGAGCCAGCAGTTCTGGATTGCAAGAAGGGTGTCCTAGATTGGAGAGGGTGCAGGCCAGGCTGAGGGACTCCCTGCACACCACCCCCGGCCCCGTTCATGAATTTCGTGCACCGGGCCTCTAGTCCTCTATACTAATAAAAGCCTAGGTGGTCCGCATTCCCTCGCGCGCGATATCGTCACAATATGACCGCACACACCGCTGTGGCAGGGCCCGGCAGCCACTCCGCACGGTGAGGCCTGGGGTTCCTGTGGCTCCACACAGTGCAGAGGAGGCTGGTCCCGGCGTCTCTGCCATCTTGTGCAGAGGAGACGGGTCGCAGCAGGGACGGGCAGTTGGGGGCAATCAGGCTGGCAGGGGAAGGCAGTTGGGGGTGATCGGGTCAG